CAAACACCCCACCCCTTCCAGAGCTGACAGGAATTTCTGCACAATTCCTCTGTTCCCACGAGGATGGAGGGATGGAGGGAACATCTTTTCCACACCAACACCATCTCCTCCTGGAACACATCCTCGTGGAAGTCCCTGTTCCTCTCTCAGACCCCTAAACACAGGGTGGAGCCCTCCCTAAAAAACACCCTTCAGTGATGAGGAAGCCAGGGAATTGCAGTCTCTCCCTCTGGGGGAAGAGCTGGAGCACCCCAGCTTTGGGAGGAAGAGCTGGACTTTGGGAAGAGCCCAGCCCTCTGTGGGGCAGGCAAGCAGCATTGAGCAACCTGTTGGACCCTCTGGGATTTTCCTGCTGCCTCTAGCGGGACCTGGGAGCTCCCTTGGCTCCAGCCACATCCCAGGCACCCAGGGGGCCATTTCCTATTTCCTATTTCCAGCTCCAGACACAAAACCCTCTCCCAGCTCCTCCTTCCCCACCCCTGGGCCCCCCGAGCTCCAACGCCAGCCCTGAGCTGAGCATTCACCTTCCCCCCTCTCCTGGCTCCCTCCACTGTTTTCCTACAGCCCTTGGCTTTTCCCATTCCCTGTAGATTCCAAATAAAACCGTATCTATGTATATTCATAGTGAGGGGTGCCAGGGAACATCCCATTGCCCCCCCACACCCCCACTCACCCTACTACAGGGTTCCTCACTGCCCCCCCCCAAAAAACCTCCAGGACAGCACAGTCCCCCCATTCTCCACAAAACTGGGTGTTCTCATCCAACCCTGCACAGGGCTCCCCACTCCCACCCAAAAGCTCTTTATAATACAGGGCCCCATAATCCCCCCATTCACCCTAAAACAGGGCCCCCCAATCCCCCCATTCACCCTAAAACAGGGCCCCCCAATCCCTTCATTCACCCAAACACAGGCTCCCCAATCCCCCAGAAAAAACGTCCTCACTCCCCCCAAAAACTCCCTACAGGACACCCCACATCCCATTCACCCCATACAAGACCCCCAACTCCCCCATTCACCCCACTACAGGGCTCCTCAATTCCCGATCACCCGATCCCAAAGCCCCCCAATCCTTCCGCGCAGGGCTCCCCAATCCCCCCATTCACCCCAAAACAAATCTCTCCAATTCCCCCAAAACCTCCCTACCCGACTCCCCACTCTCCCCCTCCCTCGGGGGTCTCCCCGCTGCCCCTCAAACCCCTCCCCGTCGCCGCCCAGCTCGATCCCCTCACACCCCCTCCCCTCCTTTCCCCCTTTCCCCTCCTTCCCTCACGCCCCCCCTCCCCATCGGGCGGGCCGCAGAGGCCCGAGCGGGCCGCGCCGGGGCCGGGACCAGCGCGGCGAGGCGCGGGCGGATGGATACTGAGCGCCAGCATCTTGCTGGGGTAGTCGAAGGCGACGACCTCGCCCTGGAGGCGCTGCTCCTGGCAGGTGCGGCAGGACACCTGGCTGCCCACGCTGAAGTACTCGCCCGGCGCCGCCATCTTGTCCGCCCGCAGCGCCCGCGGCTCCGCTCGGCTCGGCCAGGCGCGGCGGGGGCGGGGCCGCGCGGCAGCGAGGGCGGGGATTGGCGCTCCGCCCCGCCGATCTGCTCCGCCCCGCGCTCTGATTGGCTGAGCCCGCCCCGGTCGCGGTTTGTCCCTCCCGCCCCGCCGTAGCGCGCCGCCCCGCGGGCGGTGATGGGAAGTGTAGGCGGAAGAGGGCGCTGAGAGCGGCGGGAGGGAGTTTTGAGGGGTCCCCGGGATGAAGCCCCCCCCTCAGGTACCTCCCGCCGGTACCGGGGGGTGGGGAGCGCCACGGGGAGGTTTACCGAGGGTCAGGGCGGCTCAGACACTGCTGGTGGGAATGGGGAGGCCGCGGGTCTGATGTAGGGAGACCCCAGGGAGGCCACATCGGGCCTGAGAGCACAGGGAGGCCCAGAGGGACCCCGAAGGGACCCCAGGGAGGCCCAGGACCCGCTTTAGGGAAATCTCAAAGAATACCCAGGGTGGCTCCAGGGAGACCCCAGGCCTTCTGCAGAATCACCACAGGGAGAGCCAGGAGGTTTCCAAGGGAAAGCCCCAGGGAGGTGCTGGCTCTTTGCTCCAGCAAATCCCACACCGATCCCCCGGGATCCTGCCTGGCCCCATCCCAGAGCCATAAGTGTGTTCTACCCCCCGGGCAGAAATTTGGGAGTCATTTGTGGGCAAGCTTCAAGTGGTGAAAATCTCCCTGAAGCAGTGCCAAGGCAAGGCTCGGGATCCAGCCAGCTCCCACCCCTTCCCAATGAATTCCCGAGGAATTCAGGATCCAGCCACCTCGTGCCCTGTTCCCAAGGGATGGATGCCCGAGGGGATCTGTGCTGATCTCCCTCCTGTGTCCCAGCCCAGTGCCATGGATGCCCTGCACGAGGCCGGGATCCACGCAGCCGTGGCCCTGCAGGCTGGGCCGCCCTGGCTGGAGCAGTTCTGGCTCTTCCTGAGCTCCCACTTGGATCCCAAGTCCATCTACACCGTCTTCTTCCCGCTGGCCCGCGGGCTGGATGACCACGTGTCCGTCATGGTGCTCTGGATCGCCCTGGTGGCCGAGTGGTTCAACGTGGTCCTCAAGTGGTGAGGGGGGGACATGGAGGGGGGCACCGGGACACTCCCTGCTCCCTGCCTGCGGAATTCCGGGCAGAGACTCCCTGCTCCCTGCCCGTGCCATTCCGCAGGGTCACCCGAGCTGCCCCAAGCATCTGCCAGGAATTCCTGGCAGGCAAAAACCCCGGGAGGCAGCAGGACTGGCAAGGGATCCTGCCCTCCTGCTGTGGCTTCATCCCTGGAAATCCTGGGATGGGCTGGGGCTGCAGGGGTCGTGCCCCCCTGGATCCTCTGGGATGAGTGACAGGGATCCTGCCCCTCTGGATCCCCCGGGATGAGTGACAGGGATCCTGCCCTCCTGCTGCCTCCCCCATGCCCAGATCCTGCCCCCTGGCTGTCTCTCCCACTCCTGGTGCTCTCCCTTCCCGCAGGTTCCTGTTCGGGGAGCGCCCGTACTGGTGGATCCACGAGTCGGGGCTGTCCAGCCGGGAGCAGCTCCCACTGCGCCAGTTCCCGATCACCTGTGAGACGGGACCAGGTGAGCCCCAGCTCGGGCAGCCCCAAGGAAGGGCCCCAGGAGCCCCATCCGTGTGGGAATGCTGGGCTGGAAGTGGGAAAAGCCATTCCTGAGCAGCGGGGAAGGGTTGGGCTTGGCATTCCCGGCTTTTCACCTGCTGGGACACGCTCCCCAAAACCACCCCTGTGCTTCATCCCCCAGGAAGCCCCTCGGGCCACTGCATGATCCTGGGGGCGGCCCTGTGGCCGATTGTCACCGGCCTGACCAAGGGAGTGTCCAGGTACACCCAGAGGTGAGTCCGGGATGGGCAGAGCCCACGGGGAGCAGGCAGGATGAATCCAGGATGGAAATGCTGTCCCTTGGAAGCTTCCAGAGCAGCTGTGGGAAAGAGAGGGGTGGATATGGGACGCCTGCTCAGTGGGCAGCACCTGTGGAGGGTGGTGAGGATCCCTTCCCTCCCCTGGCAGCTCGGGAAGAGGCTGTGGCACCCCCTGAATGCCCCCCAGGAGTTTTCCTGGCCTCCTTCCCCTGTGCTTTCCTCCTTTCCCCCCTGCCTGGCACCACCCCGTTCCTTCCAGCCGGCTGCTGAAGCTGATCCCGTTCCTCCTCTACATCCTCCTGCTGGTGGCCATGGGGCTCTCCCGGATCTTCGTCCTGGCCCACTTCCCCCACCAGGTGGTCACGGGCTCCCTGGCAGGTGAGGGGGGCACTCCCAGCTCCTTCCCAGTCCCTCCAGCCCCCTCCCAGTCCCTCCCAGCGCCAACCCCGCCTGTCCCCTCTGCCAGGGATGGCTCTGGGCTGGGGGCTGCAGCGCTGGCCCCCCAACTTCCTCAAGTACCGCTTCTTCCTGGGGACGGCTCTGGGGCTGCTCCTGAGCGCGCTGGCCCTGCACGGGCTGGCCACAGCCACGGGGCTGGACCTGGACTGGTGAGTGCCCGGGGCCAGGGGGGAGAGGGGTGTCACAGGGGGACAGGGGTGCCCCACTGAGGGGGGGTATCCGCGGGGAGCAGCCCCAGGAATTCCAGAATATTTTTGGGCCGTGCAGGGACTAACCCCAGGGATCTGCCCGCCAGGCATTTTGGGGAGGGGGCTGACCCCAGAGCTCTTTCCCCAGCCCATTTCTGGAGGAGGGAGGGGGGAGCACACCCCAAATCCCGCTGTCCCCCGCAGGTCCATCCGCCGGGCCAGCTCCCGCTGCTCGGAGCCGTCCTGGCTGCGGCCGGAGACGCGGCCCTGGGCCTCTCTGTGCCGGGTGAGCGGCACCGCCCTGGGGCTGGCCCTGGCCGCCAGGCACCCCCTGAGCCGCCGGGCAGCGCAGGAGCTGCGGGGGTTGGAGCCGCCCCTGGGCAGCGCCATGCTGGGGATGCTGGCCCTGGACGTGCTGCACAAGCTGCCCAAGAGCGAGGACACGGCGCTGTGGTACCTGAACGTGGGTGCCCGCTACACCCTGGGGCCCGTGCTGGTGGAGTCCCTGCTGCCCCAGCTCATCCTCACCCTGCGGCGGCTCCGGGCAACCCCCTAGACCCCCCCCCATGGCGAGGAGGGGGCTCTGCTCTGGGCCCAGTTCATCCTCGGCTGTCCCAGGGACCCCCAGATTGAGTGGGGGGTGCCTGCTCTGTTCTCAGTTCATTTCACACTCCTTTTCCCCAGATTGAGTGGGGGTCCCTGCTCTGTTCCCGGCTCACCCTCACCCTCCCTTTCCCCAGGGACCCCCCAGATTGAGTGGGGGGTCCCTGCTCTGTTCTCAGTTCATTTCACACTCCTTTTCCCCAAACTGAGTGGGGGTCCCTGCTCTGTTCCCGGTTCACTCTCACTCCTTCCCCCCAAACTGGGCACTTGTCCCAGTTCATGTTCACCCTCCCCATCCCGGGCAGGGGTCCCTGCCCTCCCTCCCCTCCCCCAGGGGCTCTCTCTGAGCTGTGCCCATCCCCGGGGGGGCTCCAGGCCAGGGGACCCCCCCCATCCCCGAGGGGGCAGAGCTGGGGGTGTCCCGTGCCCAGCGGGTCTGGGGACACTGAGCTGCCACCCCCGCCACTCCCGAGCTGTCCCCAGTTGTCCCCTCCCCTCTGCAGCAGGGACGGGACCACCCCCCTCGGTGTGTGGGGGTCCCTTCCCCCGTTTGGAACCAAATAAAGCACCAGAACCAAGGCTGGCCCCGAATCCTGCGGGGGGACACGGGGGGGACAGCGGGGACAGAGACCCCCGAGCCCGGGGGGTGACACAGGGGACCCGGGGACAGAGACCCCCGAGCCCGGGAGGTGACACAGGGGACCCGGGGACAGCGGGGACAGAGACCCCCGAGCCCGGGGGACCCGGGGACAGCGGGGACAGAGACCCCCGAGCCCGGGGGGTGACACAGGGGACCCGGGGACAGCGGGGACAGAGACCCCCGAGCCCGGGGGGTGACACAGGGGACCCGCCCCGGTCCCTCCGTGCGGCGGGTGGGGAAACTGAGGCACGAGGGGAAATGGGGACAGGACAAGGGGACAGGAAAAGGGATCCCGGGACAGGACAAGGGACACAGGGACACCCCCACCCACTCCCCCCGGCCCCCCCAAAGGCAGCGGCCCCGCGGGTATTGCCAGAAACAGTTTATTTATACAAGGACGAACATCGGTGACATCTTACAAAATACCGAACCGAGACCCAGAGCGAGCGTGAGCGGGGCACGGACAGGACCCGGGGGACACGGGGGACACACGGGGGACACACGGGGGACGGGGTGGTGGGGACACCTGCCCAAAGCAAGCCGGGCACGCTGCCGGGGGGCCCGAGACCCTCCTTTCCTCTCCTCTCCCCCCCCCCAAACCCCAAAATCCAGAGGTGTTCCCTCTCCTGGGATGGGGAGGGGGATCCCCCCCTTTCCTCACCCTAAACCAGGGACCTTCCCTCCCCCCAGGAGAGGTGACAAGGACAACCTTATCCCTCTGTCCTCATTTGGGACCACCCCAAATTCCCCCCAGCCCCCGGAATAATTTAACCCACCACGCGCTGTCCCCGTCCCAGTCCTCCCCTCCGCCCCCCCCCCCAATTAAAAAAATACTATTAAATAATCCATCTGTAATAAAATTATATCCCTTTTTTTGGGGGGGAGGTTGGGTGGTTTTTCTCTCCTTTAAAGCTAAAATCGCTCCGAGGCCCCTCCGGCTGGTGACAAAACAGGAAAATAAAGTGGTTTTTCCTCTTTTTTTTTTTTTTTTTTTTTTCCTCTCCTGTAAGGACAAATTTGATCCCAACAAAGGCGCCGGGGTGACAAAGGGACGGGGGTGGGTGGGGGACAGGGCTCGTCCCTTTGTCTCGTGTCCCCGTCCCAAACGGGGAGGCCGAAGGGAAAAAAAAAAAACAACCAAACCCAAGAAAATTAAGAAAACCCAAAATGAAGGGAAATTAAGGCATTAAAAAAAAAAAATACTTACTTAAAGGCACGAATATTTCCCATCGCCTCCCCCGGGTGAGGGACGGATGCCAGAGCCAGGGAGGGAACGAAGGGGGAGAGACACACAAAAATAGGGGGAAAAGAAGGAAAAAACCCCTAAAAAAAATCTCGAGGAGCCCCGGGGGAGTCCGAGCAGCGCCGGGGGGATCCGAAGGACAGGGGGGGGACACGAGGGGACAGTTTGGGGGTGCTGGTGGAACCGCTGCTGCACAAGAGACACGACCGCAAACACCGCGGGGAGCCGGGGGCACAGGACGGGCGGGGGGATTTTTTTGTCTTTTTCTCCTCTTTTTAATAGAAAAAGAAAATATTTTCCTCTTTTTTTCTGGTTTTCCTTTCGATTTCTGCCTTTTTTTTTTTTTTTTCCTTTTTTTTTTTTTTTTGTACGTGTTTTTCGTCTCTTCCGGGTGTTCCTTGGTTTTCCCGACGAGTCAGAGCGTGGGCTCGGCCTCCATCGGCTCCTCCGCTGGCCTGGGCAGGGGAGGGACAAATGTCTGTCACCTCCCCCCGGGACACACCTGGAGCCGTGCGCGGGACACGTGTCCCCCCCCTCGGTGTCACACCTGGCTCCATTCACACCCCGGTGTCACACCTGGCTCCATTCATCCCCCCCAGTGTCACACCCGGCTCCATTCACACTCTTAGTGTCACACCCAGTGTCCCCCCCGGCTCAATTCCTGTCCCCCTGTGTCCCTCCCGGCTCCATTCCCGTCCCTCCGTCTCCCCCAGTGTCCCCCCCAGTGTCACACCCGGTTCCATTCACACACCCGTGTCCCCCCGGCTCCATCCCCCGTGTCCCCCCCGTGTCCCCGGGCCGTACCTGGGCTGTGTGTCCGTCCCTCCCTGCTCGGCCCCCACGGACAGCAGGGCCATCGCTGTCACCGTCTCGGCCTCCTCGGTGTCCCCGCGCTGCGCCTCCAGCAGGGACCGGCCCACGGCGGCGGCGAAGCGGCGCACGGAGCCCCAGTGCCGGCCTGGGCAGGGCGGGGACACGGCTGGGACGGAGCCCAGGTGTCCCCCCGTGTCCCCTTGTCACCCTCAGGGACCCCTCAGTCCCCTGCCGTGTCCCCCACCCCGTTCTCACTCTGGATCTCGATGACTTTCTCCAGCGTGGCCACCGCATTCACGTTGGGCTTCTGCTGCAGCAGGGCCGGGTCCAGGGGCTCCAGCTGGGGGGGGGACACAGCGTCAGCCCCCCCAAAACTGCCACCAGCACCCCAAAACTGCCACCAGTACCCTCAAAAAAAACTGCCACCAACCCCCCCAAAGTGAGAGCAGGGGTGGGACCGGAGCCCCCCCAGCAACCAGCGAGGGGAAACTGAGGCACGACTCGGGGTGTGCCCCCCAGTACAGCCCCGGGGAGGGGCTGGGGGGGCCCCGGGGGTGTCTCCCGTACCTCGAGGCCGAGCAGGGCGGTGACACAGGCCTCGGAGGCGTCACAGATGGCCGTCAGGTCGTGTCCCCCCTCCAGCGCCAGCACCACCCGGCCCCCGGCCAGCATCATCAGCTGCTTCGTCAGGTGCCCGAAACCTGGGGGGCACCGGGGGTGGGGTCAGGGGGTGGCCGGGCCGGGGTCCCCACCCTGGGACACCCCCAGACCCCACTCACACTTGGCGGTGACGGAGTAGCCACCGAGCGGGGACAGGTGGCCCTCGACGGCATCGAAGCCGGCAGAGACCAGGACCAGGTCCGGGGAGAACTCGTTGGCGATGGGCATCACCACGGTCCTGGGGGCAGCGGCGGCTCGGGACCCCCCCAGGGCTGGGGGATCCCCCCAAAGAGGGCAGAGACCCCCCCAGGACTGGGGGAGCCCCTTCCCAGAGCACAGGGACACCCCAGGGGTGGGGGAGGCCCCCCAAGGTGTGCAGGGACCCTTCCCCAGACCCCCTCCCATGGCACAGAGCCCTCCAAGGACTCAGGAACCCACCCAGGACACCAGAATTCCTTCCCTGAGGCACAGCCCCCCTCAGTGCCATGGAGCCCCTCCCCCAGGGGCTCCCCCCGAGCCGTGGCCCCCCCTCCAGGTGCAGCCCCCTCCCCACCTGAAGGCCGTCAGGTACTCCACGTCCCCGATCGGGGGGTCCACGCCGCCGGTCCAGGCGATGTTGATGTTGTAGCCCACGCCCAGCCCGCTGCCCACCTGGGCACAGCCACAGGTGACCCCCCCTGTGCCACAGCCAGGGCCTGGGGGGGGCACGGGGGGACCCCCACCCCCCAAATTCCCCCCGGTACCTCCTCGGGGGCGCCGCTGCCTGGGAAGAAGTTTCCGTCGTCGTAGCGGTGCAGGGAGATGTAGAGCACGTGGGGGTCGCTGTAAAACGCCTGCTGGGTCCCGTTCCCGTGGTGGATGTCCTGGGGGGGCACCCGGGTGTCAGGGACACCCCCACGCCCACCCACGGGGGTCCCCAAGGTCTGTGGGGTCCCCCCTGTCCACCCCTTACCCAGTCCACGATGAGGATCCTGCCCACGCTGAGCCGCTGCTGCAGCAGCTTGGCCGAGATGGCCACCGAGTTGAAGAAGCAGAAGCCCCTGGGGACAAGGGACAAAGGACATGAGTGGAGGGGGTGGCCCTGGGCGGGGGTCCCAGCCCTGTCCCCGTACTCACATGGCCGTGGACTCCTCGGCGTGGTGGCCTGGGGGGCGAATGACGGCGAAGCCATTCTGGGGGACAGAGAGGGACACGGGTGGGACACAGAGAGGGACACAGAGCAGTGTGTGTGTGACACAGAGAGAGACACGTGTGACATTGGGACACGCATGGGACAGAGAGGGACACTGCAGGGACGCACGGTGACAGTGCCACACACCCACCTTGACCTCCCCCGCGGCCACCTTGAAGGCCAGCTCGAGCAGGCAGCCCACGGCCGTGCGCACGGCGCTGGACGAGTGCAGCTCGTTCCACACCGTGTCACTGTCCACCTGCGGGGACAGCGGGGTCAGCGGGGCACGGCCACCCCGGGGACACCCCCGGCCCGCGCCCCCAGACTCACCCCGATGCCCCCGCACGGCAGCACCGCGTACGTCTTCGGAGTGATGGGACCTGCGGGGTCAAGGGGTGATGGGGACAAGGGGACACGGGGAGCCCGTGGGGTAAGGGGACCTCCGAGCACCCCAAAGGACTGAGAACACCAGGGCACAGGGCGATCCCATGGGATAAGGGGAACTCTGAGCATCCCAAAGCATTGGGAACACCAGGGAACAAGGAGCCCATGGGACAGGGGGAAACCCAGGCACCCCAAGAGATGGGGAAACCCCAGGGGACAGAGGGATCCCATGGGATAAGGGGACCTCCAAGCACCCCAAGGGACTGGAAACCCCAGGGGACAGAGGGATCCCATGCACACCCCAAGGACTGGGACACCCAAGGGGATGTGAACAGGGCAGCAAGGTGACCCCAACTCCAGAGAGGGGGGTCCCAGGCATTGAGGAGCCCCCCCAGCACGCACCCAGCAGCTTTTTGCTGTCCAGTTTCTGGCGGTTCAGGGGGCTGGTGCCGTAGAGCAGCGCGTGGTGCTCCGAGTGCACGCTCTGGATCTCCTCCAGCGTCGCCTTCCTGCCCCGGATGCGCTGGGAAGGGGCAGAGGTTGAGCCCCCCCACCCCGGGCTCCCCGTGCCCTCCCCACCCCACCCCGGGGCCTGGGGAGCCCCCCCTCACCTCGCACTTGCCCAGCAGCCCCGTCTCCTGCAGCCGGGACCAGATGCTCTGGATGCGGCCGGCGTGCTCGGGGTGGATGGTGGTGTTCCCACAGGTGCACTGGTGCTTCAGCATGAACGTGTCGTACACCACGCCTGGGCACAGCACAGCTGGCACAGCTGGCACCCCGGGACACCCCCGGGGGGAAGGGGGATCCCACGGGATTGGGGGGACACCAGGCACCCCCAGGTATCGAGAACCACAGGTGACAGGGGGATCCCATGGGATATGGGGACCCCCTGGGCACCCCAAGGTGTTGGGAACCCCAGGGGACAGGGGGGGATCCTATGGGATTGAGGGACCCTGGGCATCCCCAGGAAGGAGGGAATCCCATGGGAGGGGAACACCCACAACCCCAGCACGGAATGGGACACTCGGGGGGCACGGACATCCCTGGCATTTCCCACGGGACATGGAGCCCCCCGTGTCACCCCGAGAGACACAGAACCGCAGGGAACAGGGACCCCCCGACCCCCCCCCCGGTGCCCCCAGTGCCGTACCTGTGGTGAAGAGGTGCTTGGGGGGCCCCTCGGGCTGGGGGGGTTTGACGCTGGCCGGGGACGATTGTGTGCGGGCCAGGGCGGGGTGGGGCAGAGCCAGGACCCCCAGGGGGGGCGCGGGGAAGAGCTGCAGCGGCGCC